GAGCGCTCACTTATATTCGATTCGGCGAATCGAGCCGATTATATTAATATCTCTTATTAACCGCGGAATCCTCCATGACTGTAACATTTGTCTCATCCTATCTTATATTCAATGGTTCTTAATCTCGGAGTGGGCAATCGCGTTGAAATAGTCTATCCTTGCTTGAGCTCGTTCCAATGGAATGGGTGAATAGTTTAGCTCGCCACGCAAAGTAGACTTTTCGATTTTAACTCGTGGTGGCAGCGGGGTAAGTAAGATAAGATAAGTGTTCACAGTCATGGAGGATTCAGGAGTTGCGTATGGGGTACCTGGTGATTCTAGAAAGAAGACCGCCGCCTCTTTGGCTTTGGCCTTTGGAAGAAAACGTTGGGATCGCAAGAGCCGTGGCTTACCATTCTCTGAGATGGAAATTTCTGGCGTGCTTTGATGTCTTGCGGGATGTTCTCTGGAGCAAAGGGTGGCGCTGTGTTGCTCGAGTGCCCTCTTCTTTGAGTCCTAAAGTTGGGAGCTCCTGAATCATTTATGTCCAACCTTAGCGAGATAATTAATGTTATGCTGCTGTTCAACCAGAGCAGGAAGATCCCAATGCTAGAGCATTACATAAGGCTTGATTCCTAGATCAAGGAAGTTCTTTCTCTTGAAAATCAATATTGATAAGGATTTAAGGTTTTCACCAGCTTGTTCAAGTAACAGTTGTAATTGGATCGACTCAATCGCCTACAGTGAGTTTAGCTCACAAGGAAAATTCTATGAGAGCAACTTGAACAAGAAAATCTCAATTCTTGTCAAAGTTCAACTCACATGGAAAATCTGCAGCCATCCATATTCATGGACTTCACGTGGGGAAATGAGCAACATTTTCCACAATAGAGAAATAGATTGATTGACTGTGACATTAAATTAAGATGTTAACATATTTAAAGTTAAATAATATTTATTATATATCCTTCCTTATATATAAATTGTTTTGATTGACTTTGTTTTTTCCTTTTGTGTTTTAATTTGCTATAGTTCTTTTTTCATCCATACCTACATTTTAACAATAGGGGATATAGTTAAAAATTGTCTTGACACTTTAACTTTCAAGTTTTTAAATTCGAGATTTAAACGATTTTAAATGGAAGATTGAAGCTAAAAAAGAAAATACATGAATATTAAAAGAGATGATCATTTTTAATTACACAAAACACTTGGATAATGTAAAGTATAAAAAGGGTGGATCTATAAAAAAATTTAAGAGGAAAGATAATAAGGGAAATGAATTTAACAATATTGTTATGAGAATAAGTGTTATTAGAATTATCTCTAATGCAAGAAGGAATGAGAGAATATAAGAAATGTTTATCTCAACATTCAAAAATGGGATATTTGAAATAAACAATTAAACTATTGGAACATATTAAATAATAAACACATTACATCACATTGTGATTTATAATAAGAGTTTTATAAGAAAATATATCAACACATTTTAGAAAATAGAAACAAATTTAGGTAGTCTTATTTATAACATATCAATACAAAGATTTATTGATTAGAATGAAAATGATACACTATTTATTGAACCCTCGCAACCAGCTAAGCCCTCACAATTAACAAAGTTTTTGCAATTTGAAGGTATACAATTTATATTTGCTTAATAGTTCACATTTTTATTGCATTATAGATTTAAATTTAATTTTGAAAATAATAAAGGTAAGAAAACCAAAAGTGATAGAGGGCACTAAAAAATGCTAAAAAGATGGTCAAGATAGAATAAACTTAAGAAGTCCAAATAAAACTTATATATAATTTCTATAAGGTTAAGTAGCAAATAGTTATTAATACTTTTTATTCAAAATCACAATGGATATGAAATACTTGAGTAGTAATCTAAAAGATATCAGGGAATAGTTTGTTCATAAAAAAAAAAATTATTTGAGGTGAACTAAAAAAAGAATATAATTTTTTTATTGGTGCAAATTCAATATATAATCTATTATAATTTTTCTAAATCTAGATTTAAAAGTATTTTTAGCAACATTACTTTCTTTAGTGTCATAATTTGGCTACTACCATTCCACTCCTCCTACATAATAGTAGAAGTTGTAATGCAATTAAATTCTGTATAAAGATAATCATGATAAAATTATAAGTAACAAGAAAGAATAACTTAAAAAATTATCCATTAAAGTTTAAATATAAAGAGAAAAGGCATGTATTTTAAGGTCTTGAGTAGTATTGAGTTAGGAAGTTCAAATAAAAACTTTATATTCAAAATTTTTTATTCTAAACATACCACATTTAAATAAGTGTGTCATTAATGAGATAAAAAATAGCAAAACTATTCAAAGCTATAAAGGAGTGTAGCCTTTCATATTATTAAAGTGTGTGTTAAACAATAAATTCAAATACCTCCATGACTATTTAAGATCACTACAAAATCTTCTTCCTTATTATCATTTCATTCTTTAAAGTTATTACTTCATCCTATAAGCCACCATCACTTTTAATTGCTCTCGTTGAGTTCTAGAAGGAAAATTTGAATTAGAGTTTTTAAGGTAAAATTAAAGAGAATTAAAGGCCTTAAAAAAGTCTATAGGTATCATGGTGGTGCTTAAATTTGAGATCTAATCAAGATCCCAATTAAAGACCATAGTTAGGAAAAATTATAATGGTGAAAAACTAATTTTGGATAAATCTTGTGAATTTGGTGGTGGAAATATCTTGTTCAGTAAGTTATTATTGTAGAGATTACATTAAATATATTTTTAGAAGCATACTCAAACACTTCTAGAATTTATATAAGTTTCAAGTCCATTTGAGTTTCCTAAAAATAAAATTTTTAGTTTGAATGTAATGAAGATTTTAACTCCCTTAAAACACTACCTTGCAAATAAATGAAAATTCTGAACTGAAAATGATGTTAGAGATATTAAGTTTTCCTTTGATTGCACCCTTGATGTTGCTATGAGTGTTTTTAATTGTCCTCTTGATCACTAGTGGAGCAATTCCATCTGCTTTGAATTTTCTTGGGTGCACTAGTTATAGCACTACCAAACCTAAAATCTTTATTTTTTTAAAGCCAATTATCCATTTTAGGTTGACCTGTAAAAGGGTCATATAAAACATTAAAGGCCCCAATCATCTAGGGGTTCTAGAATGCAAGGTGACCAAACTAAGAAGAGGCTGAACTTCCCTGTAGTCATCCTTGGATGTAAAGACTATATAACAATAATCGAGGACTTAGAAGTGGAGAAGAGCAAGAAGATCCTGGCAATAGCATCACCTCACTGGCATTTTCTTTTATTTTGCTAGAGTGCAAGGGAGAAGTATTGAAATTCGAGAGAACATTCAAGAAAAAGGGGATATTCTAGAGAGTCAGGTTAAGGACACAAGAATGTAGTGGAGCTTGGCATGAGCCAAAGAGGCAGAACAATGGAGCCCAAAGCAAAGCTGATGTGGTGAAGCAGCATATCTAGGTGTGCGAGCAAGCCAGTTGTCAGGTGAGCAGTGGGTGAGTACATTGTGGGCAAAAGTGAATAGATTTTTGGTCAAGATCTTGGTGGAGTTGTTTGGAAGAATAGAAATTTTATGTTCCTTCACAGCTCTTGGGGTTTCTAAGTTATGGCTTGGTTTGTCATTGTAATGTTTGGTACATTAGCCACAAACCAAGCCAAAACCCTAGGCTCAACACCCCAAGAGCTCAAGAGCTGAGAAGGAAAATAAAACTTGTATTCTTCCAACAACTCGGCCAAGGCCTCAGTTAACAATATGAGCCACTCTTGCCCACAATGTGGGCACACTATACTCCCTGGAAGATCCCTTCAAAATCTATCTAACCATGTTTCTATTTGATAAATTCGAAGACAATGTTAAGGAGCCAAGATTGATGGAGAGGGGAAGACGGTCCAGCTTTATATATCATCCATGGAACACGGCATTGAGAGGGCCACCGGGGTCGGCCGTGGAGAAGGGGGAGGATTGCTCCGACTGCATTGTGTGTTCCAAGGGCCTGGTACACAAGTTTGATCAAGGGATACCTTCCAGCCTCTCCCGCTGCTCCAGAGACTTTAGAAGCAATGCAAAAGTGGGGACGGGCAGTGGTTCACTATCTGGATATATGTCTTTGGAGGAGCTGCTGGTGGGACTGTCCATCTTTGGCTCGCGAGGATGGGGATGCCACCGTGCTTGTACCTCTATGTAGCACGAACATACACAAGTTTCCTCGACTTTTCCAGGATCCATAACTTAATCCCAGTTCTTAGCTCTATTCGTCCAAGTTTGCTGCTAGCCAAGAGTGTGTGCTCCCTCGGAAGCCTCGTATAGCAAATGCCTAAGGCTCATCAAATGTGATCCAGTTCTTTGCCCTGTCTCCAAGGCCTCAAAGCGTGCCTCATACGCAACAAATTTCTCCCTGAATCATCGATCAGATACTTTCATCTCAAGCTCAAACTCGATCAGAAAGAGTTGAGCTAGATACTTAACCTTATGCTGCTGTTCAACCATCCACCAGAGAGGTACAGAGCCTCAGAAACTAAAAAAGATCTCAATTCCTGGATCAAGAAGGCCAAAGTTCTTTCTCTATCCAAGGACTTAAAGTTCTCACCAGCTTGTTTGAAGCTATCAATCATTGAGTTGTGGATCAACTCGATCACCTTGCCGTGAATCTAGCTCCCGCCAGGAAAATTGTCTAGCAAGAAAATGTGAAAAACAGAGAACAAAAGGGAAAAGTTGGGCTCCAGCTTATTTATATTTCCATAGACATCTGGATACTTATGTAGGCATCCATATCCATCCCCTTCATGGACTTTATATCATCAGTACCAAGAAGAAATAGCCCCCACTTTAAACCTGTGATATTGATCGATCGCCATTGCTCCTGTCTATAATTTTCCCTCAAATCTTTGATTGCTCGCTTGAATCGACCGTATGAGAGAATGTGAAAAGCAAACCATGCATTAGAAGACTCTCAAGGATCCCTAGATTCTATATAAGATCCTTTTAGGTCTTATCCGAAACTAGGGTTCTTGAGAGAATGTCGTACTTGCTGCCCCACCTCCACTCCGGCTATGTTGTGGATCAAGCGATCCTCACGGAGGACGAGCGCGTCGTGGTGATTCGCTTCGGCCACGATTGGGACGAGACGTGTATGCAGGTAAGCTGGAATCGCTCTCCCGGCAATCTCTTTGCCCTAATTCCGTGTCCTCGCAGATGGACGAGGTGCTGGCCAATGTCGCGGAGCCGCTCAAGAATTTCGCCGTGATCTACCTGGTGGACATCACCGAGGTCCCGGATTTCAACACCATGTACGAGCTCTACGATCCCTGTACTGTGATGTTCTTCTTCCGTAACAAGCACATCATGATCGACCTTGGCACCGGCAACAACAACAAGATCAACTGGGCGCTCAAGGACAAGCAGGAGTTCATCGACATTGTGGAGACTGTCTACCGCGGCGCCAGGAAAGGTCGAGGTCTCGTTGTTTCTCCCAAGGATTATTCCACCAAGTACCGCTACTAAGAAGGAACAAAAGAACAAAACAAGAACAAGATGGTAATGGATCAATTTACGCGATTGCTAAGCGACTTCTCTTCTCTTTTACAGACTTTTCAAGCAGCAGTCCCGAGCTTAGAAGATCTTAGTTCGATCTAGTATTGGAAAAGGTATACTCTTTTCTAATAGAACAGACGACTTAATACTTGGGTCTTTTGTTTTTCATTTTTCATAACTTAAAGAGCACACACGAGAGGACGAAAGTGAATACCCGAACCACTTGCTTTACAAGGTGGTATCTCTGCAATGCGTGCCAGCAGACAACACGGTAAAAGGCTTCCCCCGCTGGATAACGAAGAGTCAAAGACAAAACACAGAAGGGGTGCTGCGGGAGAAAGAAATGCAGTGCTCCAGAGGACGAGCAGGATGGATGATATTCCCTCAAGGCAACAAACTTCAAGAGACAAAACGAGGGACGTGATCACGGGAAGGACCAGAAACAAACTTACGGAAACGAGAGAAGCTGAAAGAAGAGAAAGGTTGAGACTTTAGAGCTCGTTGCTCGGCGTCACTGCTCCTTTCCCTTTCGGGACCGTGTGTGGAGATGAGGGTGTTGATGGCGACGATGGAATCCAGAGAGAGCTTTGCCGAGGGCAGGATTTGCACAGCCACAGTGAGAAGAGTGCTGGTGGCATCGTTCTGGAGGACGCTGCTGGTAGAGTGCGGCTCCGAGCCGTCGGGAAGGATGACGAAGCCTGAGGGGAGCACATCAACGTGAGCTGGATCACCGCCTTGAATCATCATGTTGATCATGGTGAGCTCCACCTGGACGTAGATGATGAGGGAACCGGAAGCGTCAGTGCACTCTCCCTATTCCAGAACTGGAGACGCTGGCATCCGATCGTGGAATTCACTGCTGCTGGATATGTTGTAAATAGGGAGAGTGAAGTGAGCTTGGATATCGACAAGGATGATGAAATCTGGTGGGCGGAACTGGATGTAGTACCGATTGCAGAGCTACTATTTTCCTGGTTCGGCAAATCCATCTAGCTGCTGCATGCAAAACTCTCATGGATCCTAGTCGTGCGGTTTGTTTTCAAAGCAAACACCCAGCAGGAATGGAAGAAACCATGGCAAATTCCCTGGTAGACATGTACGCCCACTGCAGAAGAACATATGGTCGAAGCTCGAAACGTTTTCGATGAGAGACGTGGTTCACTGCTGCTGGGATATGTTGTCAACAGGGAGAGTGAATTGAGCCTGGATATCAACATGGTCTGGTGGGCAGAACTGGATGTAGTGGTAGCATTTATACCATACGTAACCCTATTTTCCAGGGACTCCAGTCTTGCCTTGAAATGAGTCGTGCCAAGAATTTTGCTTCTGGAGAATCCATGGCTTGAGAAGTTCTCCAGCAGTGAAAGCAAATGTGGTTTCTTCCTCCGTGGAGCATTAAGGGTCTGGCAGTGCTGGACGTACTCTATTATATTAGCATTACCAAAGCATGGAGTATCTCTTATTGGAATCCTCCATGGCTGTAACACTTGTCTCATCCTATCTTACCTTCAACGAGCTAGACTATTCACCCATTCCATTGGAACGAGCTCAAGCAAGGATAGATTATTTCAACACGATTGCCCACTCGAAATTAAGAACCACCACCCCAAGTGGCCTTTTCGATTTTAACTCGCGGTAAGTGTCAGGTTTAGGAAAGTTGGTGGCGATGCTTTATCTGTTGTCAAGCAACACTACCAAGCTCTGTGCCTGTGTATCCTCAGCAAGTGTCATGGAGGAAGCTCTCCATCACTCCACCGGCCAGTGACAATGGCAGCATCCATGCTCTGAATGCAGTTGAAGAATACAGGCACACTCCAAGGATTGTATTGAATTTCTCTTCTTTTCCAGGGAGCATCTTGCAGCATGCAAGCTTCAGCTAGGCAGAGTTGTTCGAAGCACGTACTTCCTGTTGCCACCCAAACCTTATGGGGATGGGGGCAGAGGAGTGGGAAATGCTTTACCAGTTGAACGTCACTGTAGTTGTCCTTAGGTGTACAGACTATATAACAGAGCGGCCGAGGACTTGGAAGTGGCGGCAGAGAAAGAAGATCCTCGTGCATGGTGATGTCGTCACCTCACTGATGCCAAGGGAATGGCATTTTCTTTTATTTTTCTAGAGTTAGCGAGTCCTGGAGTGGAGAATCGTCAAGATTCCAGAGAACATTCAAGAAAATCCAAAGAGTGGTGAAGAGGAGGTCAGGGAAGTGAGAGTGTGGCATGACACAAAGAGGCGGAAGAATGGAGGCCAAAGCAGAGCCAATGTGGTGAAGCGGCGTATCTGGGTGCAGCAAGCAACTCAGGTGAGTATATTGTGGGCAAAAGTGGATCAGATTTCTGGTTGAAGTCTTGACTGAGTTATTGGAAGAATAAAAGCTTTATGTTCCTCCACAGCTCTTGGGGGTGTTGAGACCAGGTTCTAAGTTCTGGATTGGTTTGTCATCATCATGTTTGGTGCATTGGCCGATGATGATGACAAACCAAGCCAGAACCCTGGGCTCAACACCCCAAGAGTTGTGGGACACAAAACTTATATTCTTCCAAAAAACTGACTCACTCACCTTACAGTGAATCCAGGAAAAATTGTCTAACAATCAAATATGAAGAGAAGAGAACAAAAAGATCATAAGCTTTGTACCAGGAAAAGCTGGGCTCCAGCTTATGTATATTTCTATAGACATCTGAATACCTACATATCCATGCTTATCTCATCGTGGAACGAGGTTAATTTGATCTCATCACTCAGTATCAAGAAGAAAATTTTATGCCACCATATGCTATGGAAAAATGCTTAATAAATGTTGCCCTAGATTCTATATAACATCCTCTTAGGTCTTGTCCGATTCACCTCCACTCCGCCTATGTTGTGGATCAAGCGATCCTCACAGTGGACGAGCGCGTCGTGGTGATTCGCTTATTGGGACGAGACGTGTATGCAGGTAAGCTGGAATCACTCTCCCGGTAATCTCTTTGCCCTAATTCCGTGTCCGCGCTGATGGACGAAGTTTCGCGGAGCCGCTCAAGAATTTGGCCGTGATCTATCTGGTGGACATCACCGAGTCCCGGACTTCAACACCATGTACGAGCTCTACGATCCCTGTACCGTGATGTTCTTCCGCAACAAGCACATCATGATCGACCTTGGCACCGGCAACAACAACAAGATCAACTGGGCGCTCAAGGACAAGCAGGAGTTCATCGACATTGTGGAGACTGTCTACCCCGTCGCCAGGAAAGGTCGGGGTCTCGTTGTCTCTCCCAAGGATTATTCCACCAAGTACCGCTAGGAACAAAAGAACAAAACAAGAACAAGATGGTAATGGATCAATTCGCGCGATCGCTAAGCCACTTCTCTCTGTTTTTTTTACAGACTTTTCAAGCAGCTTGGAAGATCTTAGCTCTATCTAGTAATGGTGGATTGGACAAGGTATACTCTTTTCTAGTAGAACAAGTCGACTTAATACTTGGGTCTTTTGTTTTTCATTTTCCATAACTTAAGAGCACACACGAGAGGACGAAAGTCAATACCCGAACCACTCGCCTTACAAGGTGGTGTCTCTGCAATGCGTGCCAGCAGACAACACGGTGAAAGGCAGGAAATTCCGAGGTGCGTTCTTGACTTTCCCCTGCTGGATAGTAAGTAAATAACGAAAAGTCAAAGACAAAACACAGGCAAAAAGGACGGGGCTATGGAGGTTTCTGCCTGTTGCTGAGGGAGAAATCAACGCAGTGCTCCAGAGGACGAGCAGGATGGTTGATATCCCCTCAAGGCAACAAACTTCTTCAAGAGACAAAACGAGGGGCGTGATCACGGGAAGGACGAGAAACAAACTTACGGAAACGAGAGAAGCTGAAAGAAGGGAAGCGATCTTCGAAGGTTGAGACTTTAGAGCTCGTTGCTCGGCGTCAGTGCTCCTTTCACCTTCTGGACCGTGTTGGAGATGAGGGTGTTGATGGCGACGATGGAATCCAGTGAGAGCTTTGCCGAGGGTAGGGTGCTGATGAGGATTTGCACGGCCACGGTGAGAAGAGTGCCGGTGGCATCGTTCTGGAGGATGCTGGTGGTCGAGTGCGGCTCCGAGCCGTCGGGAAGGATGACGAAGCCCGAGGGGAGCACAGCTACGTGAGCTGGATCACCGCCTTGAATCATCATATTGATCATGGTGAGCTCCACCGGGGCGTAGACGACGAGGGAACCGGAAGTATCAGTGCAGCTCTCTTGGAGGAAGAGCATCTGGTTCTGATTAGCGTTGAGAGTCTGGTTGAGAGCCTGGACGAGCAAGAAAAGATGGTTATGATCGAACAAAGTTGCGAGAGGAGAAGCTTACATCGATCCGGAAGAGAGAGACGTCGTTCCCGGTGGCTTGGCCTTTGGCGATGCGGGCTACTTCCTGAACCATTCCACTGTTATCCCACTGCGGAGAACCACAAAGACATCAGCGAAAGGACAAGGCTTTGAGAGTCACGAGCAAGAAGGACGTACCTCGCTACGGAGGTGCTCGCTGCGGAGATAGTCAAAAACTCGGGCTGGAGCCAACGGGAGCCAGAGCGTGGTGGCAGCGCTGAGAACTATGCCGTGGGGCTCGCCGGGGTTGTCGACGCTCTTGCGCGTCATGACACGGATATCGTCGTGAACGCTGCCAGAGAGTGTTGTCCACTGGCTGCTCGGAGCACCAACGCCGGCGCAGAAGTTAGTGGTCATGCGCTGCGAGAGCTTGAGCAGGGACTGGCGAGCAGGAGAGTTTGGAATCACTGCAAACAAGACGGCACGTAAGAACTCGCTGGAACTCTAGAGGATGGAACTCTCACCTCCGATTTCTCGAGCTGAAGCGAGACCCGGGAGATAGCAAGTCAGTGCTTCGCACTGACGCTGGAGAGTGGCCAGCCACTTCCGCGCACCGAAGGCTCCACCGCTACTCACCAAGGATTTAAAGAGCTGATGGACGGGCTGGTCGTCGTACTCCATATGTTCCACGACAACAACCTGAGAAGACGAAAGGAAACGAACAAAAGTTAGCGATGAAACCAGACGAAAGTAACCTGAAAACTAGGACGAGACGAAACCGAAGAGCGACGAAAGAAACGTAAACGAAACTTAAGATGAAACCAGACTAACGAACGAACCGAGAGACTTTATACCTTGGAGCAGCCGTTTGGCATGTCGTGGATAGAATCCGGCATGTCTTGGATTAGCATTCCCGATGGAGAGCGTCGGCAATGCAGCGAAGCTGGGGATGGCGTTCCATGGAGACCATCGACGGAGACGTCAACCACGGCCCAGGTGCTGTCCTGATGCTGCTTGCAGTAACGAAGGAAGTAAACTTCCCTGGTCTGCATCAGCGGGGAGAGAGCTTGGATCTCGGCATACATCTAGAGGAGGGAGAAACGTAAGAACAATCAGCATGAGACTTGAAAAACAGCGTTGCATACCAGCTGCAGTGTTCCACTTAAACTACCGGGAGCACAAGAGATAACTTCCAGCGTCAGTGCTTTTGAAACGTTCGTGCAAAACATCTCCATCCACTTCGCCTGGCAAGGAGAAAAAAAAAAACTCGTGAGAAACGAAAAACCGAGTTACGAACTAGAACATACCGGATCCATGAGAACTTCGACCAAGCTCGCGGCGTTCATCATCACAAGCCCATCATCGCGAGTGGCATCGGTCTTGAAACCATACTGCTTGCTTTCGACGAACTTTGGAAACTGGCGAACGTACTCGTCGTAGTTAAGCACCTCCTTGGAGGCGTCCGGGCTTGGGATCCACACCGGCGAGTCAGGCTGTGCGAGCTGGACGAGCTCATCCATTGCCATGACTGCCAGGTCAAGGACGCTGTTCTTCTCGACGTCGCTCAGGACAACAGATTTGTTGGTGCTAAGATTGTTGGAGTTCGAAAGCTCCTCGACTCCTGATGGTGGCGCTGAAAGTAATCCAGCCACCTGTGCTGGAGGAGACATCGGATTGCTCCCTGCAGCACCCTGGATGGAAAGGTTTAGAGACGATCCGGAAAACTGTGGAGCTTGTTGGGAAACCATCGGCGGTACTGATCGTCCAAAAAGCTTTGCAGCGACAGCAGACACTCGATCGAGCTGGACAAACAACACAGAAACTTCGTCGTTAGAACTCGGGACAAACAAATAAGACCAAAGACCAGTACCTCGTCCTTCAAGCAAGCGTTCTCGATTCGCAGGTGCTGCTCTTCGAAGGACATCTCTCGCAGAGTTGCAGGGCCTCCGCAGTTTGGACACGATGCATTGCGTATCGCCTCGCGCATGGTGATGTTTTCAGCGCGGAGCTTCTCCACCTCGTGGCGCAAAACGTTGTTCTCCGCTCGCTCCTGCTGGGCCTGGACAGGCAAGGAAGATCTTTACGTCAGAAACGCCAAAGAAAAGCTTTTGGAGCTTCTATCCTACCTTGAGCTGCGTGCGGCGATTCTGGAACCAGAACTTGACTTGCCGAGGCTCCAGTCCTAGCTCCCGGCTCAGCTCCTGGCGCTGCTTATCGTCGGGATGAGGACACTCCTTGAACAACCTGGCACGAAGAAAGATAAGTTCTCATCATGCTCTCGGCTTGCAGTACTTACGATTCCATCTCTTGAATCTGCCTTGCAGTGTGACGATGATAGCGCTTCTTCCTCGGCGGTTCCTGCTCGTCACCCGACGCGTTTCCCATGTTCTCGCTGCCGCTGCCGGACCGGCTCTCGTTCTCATCCTCCTTGCTCTTGCTCTTGACACCGAGCTCGCCATCGGGAGCCGGCTTGGACTCCAGCTGCATCTCCGGACAGTTTGGCTGCTGCTACAGCACGGACACGAGACAGTGAGCAACGCTTCTCAAGATCTTCCGGCCATTCATAGCCTCCCGGAGACAACACCCAGCGAGCAAGAAGCAGGCAAACATGCTTGGAACAGCTAGCCGCGAAGGTCAAAACCAAAACTCTCAAGCTCCATTCAATGCAACCGTTGCTGTTCTTGCAGGATTCTCACACAGCCACGGAACCCATGCACGCAAGCGGACGAGCTAAGGCTAGACCAACGACGCAAGAACCACAGAAAGACATGAAAGCTAGAGCCTTTTGAAGGACATGAAAGCTAGATGTTTTTTTGGAGGACTTACCAGGCCGAGCGAGAGTCCAGGAGAAGTGAAAGAGTTCTTCATCTGAGGCGGCATGCCTGGAGCGCCCCTGTTGATGAGCCGCGACGCCGACATTGGAATGTTTGCGAGGTCGGAAAGACCCATAGCTCCAAAGCCGGCATTGTCCGCCAGGAGAGCCACCGTCGGGCCGTCAAACCTCATCTTCGCTGGTAAGCTCGTGGCTTCCTTCTCTTCCTTCTAACTCCTTTCTTGGCTTTCGTCCTTGCAGACGCCCGCTACCAATCTAAACTAGAAGTGTAAGCAGTGATATGATCTTTTTTCGTGTTCTTCCTCCGTGACCGTGTCCACTTTGCCAGGATCCCCTATCTATCCTACGATTCAGGAGGTCAGAGAATCCAGCCAGCGAGAGGAAATGGACCAGAGAGAGTGTGGGAGGCCAGAGCCGAGTACATGAAACGTACGTATATATCTCACCAGAGAGGAAGAAGAAAAAAGAGAGAGCACTTCGTCGTGAAAGAGAGTGAGATGATAGTGTGAGTGATCTTCTCCTTGGTTTCTCTCAATCTATCTTCCTATCTTCGTTTTGCTGCCACTTCTCGAGCGTTCTTGCCTCCACCACCCTCTCCAAAAGAGCCCAGAGAGAAAGAGGGAGAATGAAGGCAAAGCACGGCTGCCTTCTTTCTCACTCTTTCTCCCCCTCTCGAAGCGCGCTACCTAATGGAGCCTCAAAGCTCGCGCAGTGCCGCGCCTCAATCCCGGGCGATCCCGCGACTGTCCATCCGCATTGCTCACGCGGCGCGCTCAGCCGAGAGGAAAGCCCCCTGGATCCTGCCCACCACCGACACAGCCCAGCTCCGGCGATGCCGGATTGACGCACCAAACTCGCAGATCCGCAATGTGGGTCGGCAATGTAGGCCGCGGGGATTCGTGGGCAGTGCTCCGATGGGACGATCGAGGCCTAGATCGCTGTGGATGAATCGCTAGACCCCTCTCTTCTATCTCCAAAACAAAAGGATATCTCTCCCAGGAGCTCTAAACCCCTCTTTTTCGCTCTTTTTCTATACGATCTTCTCTCTCTCCCAGGCCAGGTGCGTGCCGATTAAATGCTCTGGATGAATAAACAAATGCGCGGCGCGGCACAGTGGATGAGAGAGACGAGGACGCGCGCGAGTGAGAAGATCTCTCTCTCCTCTCTTTGCGAGCGGTGCGAATCGAGACTGGAATCCTTGAGAGCTCGAGGCAATTAGCGAATCCAGCGGAGTGGTGGTAATCAGTGCTCAAAGTGGTGGTGAAAACCACCGAATTGGGGAAGAAACCGATGAGAGCTTAGCACGCCAAGAATCTCTCTCTCTCTCTCTCGTCAAGCTCTCGTCAATGTTCCTTTGTTGATTTCTTTCTCCTTTCCTGCAGTTTTTTTGTGCATGGTTTTTTCCTTCTTTTCGCGTCTCTAATCCTCTGTGAAATCGCAGAGATTTCCACAGTGATGGCATTGAATGCGATTGCCACAGGCTTGCCCGCTTGGCGTCTCTGTGTACCGCGCGACATTAATTGCGTATATGCACTGGCTCGCTGGCCCCCAATTCTTAGCAGGGGAAAAAGACGAGACGTGTCTGCTGCAAATTTCTGCTTGATCATCGAAATTCGTCGCTAGGCCGGCTCCGTTTCCACCAAAGCGTTCGAATTCGATCGGGAATTACGAGCCAATCGACCGGAGCAGGGGCAAAGTGATAGTGATCTTGCCCATTTTGCGGGCGCGAATTTTTTTGAAAATTTTGAAAATTAGGGCGCTGTTCTAGAGGAATCCTACGACCGTCATTAAGCCAGCTGTTACGCTTAACGGTTAGCGATTAAGTACTAGCTAACGGAAGTTCTAGGGACTTTTAGGTTAGGTCCGTTTTTTAACTTTTACTCCGGGGGCGTGCCGGCATTTATTGTAGTGCTCTGCCGTCGGATGGGCGATACTGGGCCTGGCAGCGACGGCTGCGATGCGGAGTTCGTGGGATGTTTCAGGTCAAAAACGCATGGCTCGGTGTTTCAACTTGTCGATTGCCAAGATTTTTAAGCATCGATGCGAGTAATCTAATCTACGTGTTTGCATGCTTCGATTGTTTACCATTTTTTTTTCTAGTTTCTCACCTCGTCGGTCAGTGACCACCTTGAAATTCATAGAAAATGGGCTTGTTTCGATTGATTCGTCTTGCCTTAATGCTGCAAGAACTCCGCTCAGTTTGTGTTGTTTTGCTTGCTTGCGGATCAAAAACATTCTATAAGATCAATGAATGCTGCACACGGGTTTGGGTTTTGTTTCCTCTCGTCGCCCTCTTTCCAGGATCAAGTCTCAAGGACATGGAGTTAATATCTGGGTTGCTCAATCTCCCTTTTGGTTATCCTGACGTTTTTTTAACCTTGATCCAGCACAAACCCTAGAAAAAGGTGGTGGCGTGGCAGATATCACGTCTTGGTCTCCCTCCCAAACTGCACATTCAATTCCCCTGCGGCAATTGCCAATGTGGCATGCAGCTGCTACGCAAAAGGAACGCATTCAATTCTCCTGCGAGATCCATCGCTTCGTCTCGTTCGTCTCGAGACAAAAACGGTGGCAACACAACTCAACTCACCAGCTGTAATTGAAGCGAACTCGAGACCTCACTGCTCGGCCCGCCACCTTTGCTGTTGTTCATTGAATCGAAACGAAATCCACCCATCCGCAGAGCGATCCAGTCCAAACGTTACATTGATCTTTTCTATGCTTCGTCACACCCTTGGATTCTTTCCCAGCCTTTTATTGTGCTTGTGACGTGAGAGTTTTCTCTCTCCGTGCCGTGCCGCGCGGCATACCGCCCGCCGGCGGCACGGCGTGGCGGCACCGCCTGCTGGGATGTTGACCGCCACGCGTCATTCAGGTAGCTTTCCATAACCGTGTGTGGCGGCGATCTTGCCGGAAGATAATTCCCGATGGTCGTGCACACGCCACGTCATGTCTGGCATGCCATGCAATGCGCGTGAAAGAAATCAAATTTTCTGTTCTTACTTTTACCGCCATTAACTTTCTCACGCAACAGGATATTCTCTGCCGTGGAATATTCAACCTAGAACCCTAAAGAATTTTCGCGCCGAATGGAAAAATGTGAACGTTGGGGCTTTGTCTAGGGTTTTCCGGGAGCTCGCCATGGAACAACGGGTGAGGCGCAATCTTCTGGGTGGATCGTCTATGGTGCTCGGCAAGGAGATGGGATCGCCGGAGAAGAAGCTCAAGAAGAGCGCCCCTGCTTCCAAGAGGTACATTCTTTGTTCTAGGGTCTGGATCCGAGACCGTGGGTTTGGGCGCCAGGGCGCTGGAGGAATTTTTCGAGGCTCTAGAGTCGACCGTGGCGCTGCTGAAGATTCGTAAGCAGTCGTGTACATTCGCTGCTGTGTCTGCGCCTGTGGAGGCCCTCACAAAGAGGTTTTCTTTTTTTTCTTGTGTTCTTTCTTCTTACATTGTCTCTCATTTGGGCAGGCGTTTTCTTCGCTCTCATCTGGCCAAGATCAAGTATCTCTTCCCGGAAGCGGTCGAATGCGACTCTTTTACGTGGAAAGACCCCGACACCTCTTCGTTAAAGACGGACATACGGATAAAACTCCTACCATTTTCTCCCGAGCAGCCAGCTTCCGTGTCGAAATCCGTCAGTGGAATGGCGAGAAAATGGAGTGCCGACACCGTCGCTCGGAGGCGTGAATTTCAGAAGAGGATTGCTGCCTTCGAGAAAGATGACGAGGTTCCGGAAGCACAGCTCGTGGAAGAAGTGACGAAGATCAAGGTTCCAGACTTGGACACAGGCGCGGCACCCATCCCCAACGTTTTAGCTGGCAAAGTGGTGATCAAGTCTGGATACGAGGATATAGTCGAGCGGAGGCTTCAGTCGGACGATGCAATAACTACGTCGCATTTCTCACCTTCGTTTCGTCGCCACTTCTCCGCAAGACAGAGAAAAGTGGAATCTTCTGAGCTACAACAAGCTTCTCCAGAGCCTGAAACTCCTCAAACCTGCAAGGTTGCTCCTCGAGCTACGACAGGGGCATTCACGGGTCCCGATTCTACTTCCAGGCTTTATGCTTCCGCTGATACTCTTCCAAAGATCGATCACGACGCTCCCACACCTCCGAGGCGTCAGAGCGTTGTCAAATCTCTCCAGTTCGGAAGTGCGGAAAAGAAAAAAATTCTCGAGTCTATTCCAAACGATCTTCTTCACTCGGTAAATTCCTGTTGAGTTTCAGAGGAGTGCTGACAAGGCTTTTTTTTTCTTAGGTGCATGAAAAGGAACAGAAGGAGCTAGAGGAAAAGAGCATAGACAAGAGACGACAACAGATGCTTTCCGGGCTTCCACACTTTCTCAACATGACAAGGCTCATTTTTCAATCCTTGGGTCGCAGCACAATGCTACACAAAGACCTCGTCGAGCAAATCGAGTCCTCCGCAACTGAAATAACAGACAAAAGTACGTGAATGTTTTCTTTAAAGGTTTTTGTGACAACTAACGCTGGAGGAATCGACAGATGAAATCGAGGAAAGGCTGCAGTTGCTACTAGAGCTAGCTCCGGAGTGGATTTCCTCGCGAGCTTCACTTGTTGGAGGCACGCTTTACAGGTGAAAGCAAGCAGCACTTTACACTCCGATCTTGTTTTTAACCGAAATAGTTGCTCTCAGGGTCCAAAAGACGGCTGAATTTTCCACGATCCGCAAGAGAATGCTGGATGCTGCTTAAAAGGTAAGTTGCCGGTTGTAGCAAAAACCTTTAAAATCAGATTGACGCCGGAAAGGAGCTCATGTTTCCAGAATCTCTGCCGGACAGTGGCTCCGAAAGTTTGCTGTCTCTGCCGGACTCGGAAAGTTTGCTCGGAGGCCTCGTATCCTGTTCCTTCAGCGATTCCAGAATGTCCTCCAAGCTCTTCGCCACGTTTGTCATGGACGGCCTCATTTTCCCCCTGACGTCCGTGCATTCCAGAGCCAGCTTCGCCGCACGGTACAGCGGCTCCGGCATCTCGGGCACAGCCAGGGCCGGATCAAAGAGCTGGTGAAGGGTGTCATCGTTGAGCAGCTCCTTGGCCCAGATGACAATGTTTTGCACCGGCCGGAAGTGATCAACTGGCTTCTGGCCAGAGAGAAGCTCCAAAAGAACAACTCCGAAGCTGTAGACGTCGCTCTTAGTGGTGAGTTTCATGAAGAATCCATACTCGGGGTCGAGGTAGCCGGGAGTTCCGACGATGGTCATGTTGCTGAGATGAGTTGCCGATCCCAGCGGGCCAAAGAGCGACAGTCCAAAGTCCGAGACGTGAGCGTTCCACTCGTCGTCCAAGAGAATGTTGGCGGACTTCACGTCCCGGTGGATGATGGGCGGACAGGCATACTTGTGGAGGTACTCCAGTCCGCGAGCGGCTTGAGCAGCGAGCTTGATCCGGCAAATCCACTGCAGGCCAGCGCTCGGCCCAGATCTCGCGAAGATGTTATCATACAGCGATCCTCTCGACATGAACTCGAAGACGAGCAGCTTCTCCTCCATGCAGTAGCCGACCAAGTTTACCAGGCACGAGTGGTGCGTTCTCGTGAGGAGCTGGAGTTCCTTCTCGAAGAGCTCGCTCGATCTGCCAAAAGTTTGTGAGGTGGTGGGAGGAACGAGAAATCGGAAAGCTTGATCGATCTTACCTGGTGCTTGAAGTGCTAGCTCGCTTGATCGCTACTGCCTGGCCGTTCTCTAGCACGCCTTTGTAGACAGTCCCAAACGCTCCCTTGCCGAGCACCATCTCTTCGCTATAGCTGTTCGTCGCGACTTCCAGCTCCAGGGCCGACATAGCGAGCGCTTGACCGGCGGACCGCTCGTTCTCGTTCTTGCTCGCTACCGCCTCTAGCTTCCCGTCACCCTGTTGCTTTGGATCATCCTCTTTGCTCTTCTCACGCCGGAGGAGATAGAGCCATGTCGCTAGCACGAGCAAACTTCCCAAGAACAAAGCTGCCGCGATGAGCAAGATCACCAGAGCAGTGGAACGAGGCTGCGATCTTGTGTCGCATTTCCTATCGCCTAACGGACCGCAAGGAGAAGCCTCGGAGTTGCCAACGCACACCGAGCAATCCAAGCACACCTTGTCTCTCACCACTGGGCACAGCTGATCCGCGGCCTGGAACTGGCTCCTCCCACACTCGCTGACGCACATTCCCCGGCTGATCGTGAAGTTCTTCTGGTACCGAGGATACCACACCGAGTTGCCCCAGCACACCACGTCCATGGGAGGATCCATCCTCATCCCGCAAGTGTAGAAGTCCCCGGCGGCGATCTGCGAGAAGGAAACGTCCAGTGGAGCCATGAGCTTGCCGTTGTCTTGGTCTCCCCAGCATAGAACTTGGCGATTGTCCGCGCGGATCCCACAGGTGTGATAGAGCCCTCCAGCGATGGATAGAAACTGCAGTCCAGTGGGAGGGATCGACTGTCCATGGTCGGCGGTCCCCCAGCAGCACAGCCTCCCGAGTAGAGTCACTCCACAGGCAGTGTTTCCTCCCGCGAAGATGGATCCAAAGGTCTCGTTGGATGGCTGCAAGATCTCCTTGCGGAGATCGCCCCAGCAAGCCACTGTTCCAGCTTGAGTGAGGCCGCAGGAGAATCCCCAGCCGGAGACCAAGCTCGCGAATGCCATTCCAGCCGGCGGCGCTGGGATCCTCCCCCAGCAATCCACGAATGAGTTGTCGCTGCGTAGCGCGCAGACGTGGAATCCCCCGGAGGCCACGATCGAGTAGCTAACTTGCTGAAGTTCTTGCGGGACTTGGAGCTCTCCCCAGCAAACAATGAAATGCGATCCATACTCGACGCCACAGGCGAAGTGCCCGCCGCCGGAGAGCGCCAGGAACTGGGTCGTGTCGGGCGGATTGCTCCCGTTGTGGTGAATTCCCATGCATCTAACGCGGAGATCCGTGGCGTGGAGAGCGCACAAGGCAAAAGTACCTGGGATTGGGATGCCGGGGTCTGCACTGCCGCTCCACATGGCGGCGATCGTCCCCATGGGGCTGAATCCACGCACGGATGATCGCTGCTGGAGGATCGCGAGGGCGACGATGAAGAGCCAAATCGCTGCTGTAGTGTTGAGCATTTGATCTTGAAATGTGGCGCCGCCAGGACGAGAGAGAGAGAGAGAGAGAGAGGAGAGATCACGATTTGGGAGATCGAAAAATATTACCCGGATTTGAGAGGTTGGCGACAAGACCCACGACAGATTCTGCGACAAGAGGATTAGAAGTCCTCATATTATGCAAGAGTGAGAGACAGAGAGAGAGAGAGAGTTTTAGCCCCGGGTGACGGATTAAACGATCTCCTTGGTAGATTCCCTAGAATATTCAGAAACTTTAATTTCTTAAATAAACTACTGTGCTTGATATTAAAAGTATATTTCTCCCAGGTTTAAAATCAATTATAGTAAAACGTTAAAAAAAGTTTGCAAATATTTTAATATTTTGTAATCATATTCAAAATTCAATGTGCTTCATACCTAACTAATCCTCGACTACACAACTCTTGACAAATATGTAGACGCCCAAATTGTAGCAGTATAGTCACTTCAAACCGCCCTCCATCTTCTTTCCGCTGCAATCTCTTTTGGGATATTTCTATGAAGTGGTGCCCATTGAAACGTTCCAGGTGACCAAGAAGGATAACGTCTTGAGTGTGTAGCTTGAACGAATCATAGATTTTGATTGGAATACCCTCTCCAGTATTAAAACTCACTTTTGCCGCCAAAAAGTTTTTAAACATTTGAAGACGACTTAGATTGCATAGTAGACTGGAGCCTCGCCGCGGCTGTCTTCTTGTGCATGGAGTTCCTCCAAAATCTCCTCCAAGCTCTTGGCCACCTCCGTCATGGACGGCCTCTCCTTGCCGCTCACTTTGGTACACTCGAGCGCGAGCTCTACCGCGCGGTACAGCGGCCCCGACGCAGCCGGCACGTCCAGGGCCGAGTCCAGCACCGCGTGCAGCGCGTCATCCTCCATCAGCTCCACCGCCCAAGCCACGATGTGGCGCGCTGGCCGGAACGGGTCCATGGGCTTGGCGCCCGACAAGAGCTCGAGCAGCACCACTCCAAAGCTGTAGACGTCGCTCTTGGACGTGAGCTTCATGGATAATCCATACTCCGGGTCGAGATAGCCGGGAGTTCCAACGATGGTCATGTTGCTGAGGTGAGTTGCCGATCCCAGTGGGCCGAAAAGTGAGAGTCCGAAGTCCGAGACGTGGGCGTTCCAGTCGTCGTCTAGAAGGATGTTGGCCGATTTCACATCCCTGTGGATGATCGCCGGACAGGCGTACTTGTGGAGATATTCGAGTCCGCGAGCGGCTTGAGCGGCGATCTTGATCCGGCAAATCCACTGGAGGCCAGCGTCTGGACGTGATCCACAGAAAATGTTGTCGTAGAGTGATCCTCTCGACATAAACTCGAAGACGAGGAGCTTCTCTTCCATGCAGTAGCCGACCAAGTTAACCAGGCACGAGTGGTGAGTTCTCGTCAGCAAATGGAGTTCCTTCTCGAAGAGCTCGCTGGATCTGTTTAGTTTACAAGGCGAAGATAGAAAAACTCTCGAAGGAAAATGAAGACTGTGAAGTACCTGTTGTTGGAGATGATAGCTCGTTTGATCGCTACTGCTTGACCATTCTCTAGCACGCCTTTGTAAACAGCCCCGAATGCTCCCTTGCCGAGCACCATCTCATCGCTATAGTAGCCCGTCGCAACTTCAAGTTCTAGCGGCGACATAGCGACCACGCGCGGCGCAGCAGAGAAATCGTTTTCGTTCCTGGTTGCTGGAATCTCTTTCTTGCCAGCATCTTGTCTGTCATCCTCTTTACGTCTCAGGCAGAGATAAGCGCAAATCACTGCAAACCCCAGGGCCAGGATCACCGCCACCAATATCAGCACTAGAGCAAGCCTTCTTCTAAGCTGACGTTGATAACTTCGAGCGCTTGCGGTAGTAGAGATTCCAAAGCCACACATCCTATCAGCGCTGGCACCGCACGCCGATATCTCTTGCATGTTGAGGCACTGTGAGCATGCCAGGCACACCTTGTCCCGCAAAACAGGACATGGCAGCGAGAGCTGGTCGAACTGGTACTCGTCTCTTCCACACGCGCTCACGCACGGAGCCGGGCTGACGTTGAAGCTCGCTTCATGAGGATAGACCACCGAGTTCCCCCAGCAAAGCACTTGCATGGCTCGATCCAATCTCACTCCACACGTATAGAAGTCCCCAGCCGCAATCGCGGAGAACGGTACGTCCAAAGGAGCACTAAGTTGCGCATGCTCGTTGTTTCCCCAGCACAGGACGCGACGATCATCCGCCCGGATCCCGCAAGTGTGATACAGTCCCCCAGCAATCGCCAAGAACTTAAATCCAACCGGAGGACGAGACTGGCCATGATCATCTCCTCCCCAGCAGCCTAAGTCCCCTAACGAAGTTACTCCACAGACGTTGGAACTTCCAGCAAAGATGGCCCTGAAAGTCTGGTTAACCGGCTGCGCTACATCCTGCCTAAGTCCCCCCCAGCAAATCGCTGATCCCTCTCGAGTGAGCCGCAGGAGAATCCCTTCCCGGAGATCAAAGACGCAAACGCCAGCTTTGGAGGAGGCTGATCGATGTTCCCCCAGCAATCCACGTTTGAGTTGTCACCGCGTACCGCACAGACGTGATCACCACCCGAGGCTACGCTGGTGTAGCTAACCTGTTGGAAGGTGTCCGGGACAGTGATGATTCCCCAGCAAACTAAGAAGTGGGATCCATAGTCGAGGCCGCAAGTGAAGAGGCCACCACCGGAGAGCGCGAGAAACTCCTTCTCCTTTGGCGGAAGGCTGTTGTTGTGTGAAGTTCCCAGGCATTCTACATAGAGAGCCGTGGCTTGTATGGCGCATACAGAGAAAGCACCTGGAACGGGGTTGTCTTGGCCGCTCCATGTCGCGGCGATCGTTCCCATAGGATTGAACCCCTCGGCTGGAAGGCTTGCGAGGAGACATGCCGCAAGCACCGCTGCCGCTACGAAAGGGGGCATTTCTTGCTCGATTTCTTGGCGAGAGCCGCGGCGCCGGTGTGGGGAGGAGTAATGGAGCGATAGAGCAAGAGGAAACCTGCGCAGCGGATTTTCCAAGATCCATGTGGCATGTCGATCCAGACAAGATCGTTTGCTGATTTCCCAAGGAACATCCCATAAACCCTAGCTAGTCAATTCAAATTTAACGCGGGAATAAACACTTCCATAAAGGTTATTAAACGCTTATTTCGTATTAACAGGAGAACACACATTTTAAACACTGGTTTAGGGTTTAGGGTCTAATTAACTCGCTACTTGTTCTACAGCCAACCATAGGTCAAGTTGTAATTCGTTGTGCTTGCTTAAATACAAAAACCTGCAAGCTAGGTTACTAGCTTTTAGGTATATAATATAGCTTTCAATTTGGAAATTATTTGGTTGTGATAGTTGAAAGGTTGAAGCACATGTATTTAAGTTCTCCCCTTATATGCTTTTATTTTATAAGGAATTTTAAATATCTACAAGTTATAATAAAATATTGGCTCAACAGTCTTTATTTTGACTAATTGGAGATTAATATTTGAGCTTGTCACAATGAGAAAGAAAACTTCCTGAGCTACCTCTCTAAATTTTATTGTATTATATATCAATTATATAGTATGAAGTAATGAATTCTTTGGTGTCTTTCTGATTCTAACTTGATGTTTTATAGGTTTAGTGCAAGCTTATCAACTAGTAATACTGCATGCAAAGAGGTTTCTCACTCCAAAACTATTTTAAAATGAGAGTTTGTTTATACTATGTTTAGCTTAAATCCTAAAATAATATATTGGGTTTTAAAATTTGAAGAGATTTAAAAGCTAAACATAAACTATTAAATATAATTCATTTTGTTAAATGAAAGCTTGTTATTTAGCAATTGATAACTAAAAATTTGAGATGCTCCTCAAAAATATGGTAGAGGTTCTAATGAAATTTAAATGCCCTTTAATTATTTTCTTAACAACTGAATTACATCATGAATTAACTTCAAATAACTTCTCCCACCATATGACTTGGAGCTTTGGCACAATTGCTATAATTTATTGATGGTAATGTGGTCTTAATCAATATTATTGAAAGTGTTAAATAAAGAGATTGAAATCTTGAAGAATTTTTCAAAAAAGAGGGAGAACATGAAGATGTGTCCCAACCAAAGAGATTCAAAAGGCTACATAAAATGTTGAAGTGGAATATTAGTTAAGCTGTAAAACAATTGAAATTTTGACTTTGTTGAGAAAACTATGGAACCCAAACCATGTATCATACTTTATTAACATACCAATCTTTAACTTTAAATTAAGAAGCCATAATTTATATTAAATATTTTATTAAAGTTGCAAATGAAGTGTTGTGTTAGATTGCTCTAACACTTTCTAGGACTTTTACAGAGTATTTATATTTGATTAGAGCTAAATAATAAAATTTGAGGAAGCCATTGAATGTTTTATTTCGTTAAAGTGGGACTTTTCATAATCCTACTTATGGTGTGTGGCCACATACCATTTTTATAACAACAATAAAAACTTGAAGTTTTAACTTTATAATTTATAAATTAAAAACTTTTCATATGATTTTGTGTTATAATATTGTGAAATATAAAAAAATAAATTAAAAAACTGATAGAAATATTAATAAATATTAATTAAGTACTAGGAAATGGCATGTGGACACATGCTAATTAATGTCCCACTTTACTGAATAAGTCCCACTTTAACAAAATAAAGCATTTGATATCATATTAAAATTTTGTCATTGAGAAAAGACAATAGAAATAATAATAAAATATTAAAATAATAAAGAAGAAAAAATAGATGTATTTAATAATTTAGCCCCAAGTTAATCCAAAAATGTAATCCATGTTAATTCCATATAATCATCTATGTGCATAGAAGGTCTTGAATTCAAATCCCATGAATAAAGGCTTGGGGTTCAATTCCCATTGTGGTCAGTAGTAGTGAATATACTCTTCATTAAAACAAAGAAAAATAAAAATTATATAACATATAATAAATTCTTTAGAAAATAATATATCACCAAATAATATTTCACCCCAAAAGGAAGTATGTGTTGTTCAAGATGTTTTTCAATAGATTTACTACTGATCTCACCAAAAAATGCATATTTTTTCATGGCAATAGTGTTTATTACATTTCCCCTTGCAAGCCTTTTAGTGGTATATTTATTTATTTTACCATAGGCTGCATGATATAATAGTTTTAAAACTTTATTTTGTATTTATGAAAGTATCTAGTGATAAAATAGTTCTTTGTTTTGCAATCAATAAAATTACATATTTTATAAATTATATTAATTCCAAGATAACACTTCTTATAGTGTGTAAATTGGTTGTATAAACACCTTTTACATGTAGGTTTACATATGTTTTATGCAATGCCAATACAATACTTCAAAACATGCTTTTTAAATTTTACTCATTGTGTAATCAAAGTTGTTTAAATACTTTTAAAAGGACTTGTCTCAAAGAAACATAAAAATATAATCTCTTAAATAAGATTTTCCAAAGTTAAAATAAGCTTTGATCTTAGAGTTATCAAAACAAAACATGTGGTATTTCTTACAAGGAATCTAAAGGGAAACTCATGATTGTAAGCACTTGTTATATTTTAACAATAATGGTAAAAGTTTTGTGTTAAGTAACATAAAAATTATACAAGTAATTTTGGAAGCAATTTCTATGAACCACAAGCACAATTACAAGTAATAATCTTTATGGAAGTTTCAACTTTTATGAATTTCACAAACTTGCAAATTTACATAAAACACTTGGACCACAAAAAAGAATTAAGAATGACTTACCACTAGTGGGATGATACTAGGTAAAAGCTATTTATGGTCTTTAAACCATTTTTTTATTGTGCTTGAACAAAATTCTATAGTTATTAACAACAAATAAGAATTATAAACTTTTAATCAGTGTCTAGAGAGAATGTTTAAGGTAGTTTTTCTTTAAGTTGTGATTGTCATTACTACAAAAATTATATTTAATCTTTATTTAACAGTTTTACATTTTATAAACATTGAAGTAAATAATGGAAGATTTTTTACATAATTAATTATTATTATTAACTATGAAGCCTCTTAGAAATTAAAAGATCAATGTTTAATAATATTACTTTTAATAGTTGAACTAAAATTAATATAAATTATTGAGTGCATAGAATACAAAAATGCAATATAAAAATGTGTGTATTAAATTACCCCAAAAACCTTAGCTTATATATATGGTTAGGATTGAAACCAATCCAATAGGTATCAAAATCCCACTACACTAATATTAATATATAACATCATAACCCTACACTTGGACCTTATATCATCCTTTACTCTCAGAAAGATGGAAGGTAATTAAAGTCTTGTAGCGGGATTTGGAAAAATATTAAAAGGAAGCATTAGTGAATTTGTAAGTGGTGTAATTTTTTTCTGATCCAATTGTAACTATTGCACATACATAATTTTTGTAGCGCACGTGGTTTTGACCCTTTATTCTATGGTGATTTACCATAGGATAACACCACGAAGCGGAACCTAAACCCTCTTTGTGCCACGTGACAGATGCCACGTGTCACATACCACGTGTCCGTGCCACGTGTCCATAGGAACCCGAGGTTCAGGGCCTTGGGCCACTGAACGAAGGAACGGTGCCAAACTCCCAAGCCTGACGCCAAGGAGTGATGAAACCGGACCACAGAGCAACTCCCGAGCATATAGCCCAAGGAGCGAAGGGACAGGGGCCCAGAGCGACTTGGAACAGTCCTAGAGCAACCAGCATCCCAATGCCAGGACCAGCACGCAAAACGGAGCCAAACGGAGTCTGGCGCTATTTCGGCATACCGGTGGCCTAACGCGAGGATATGGGTACTCCACCAACTAGCATGGAATGGAACTTGGGCTTAGACCCAAGCCGGACGCAGAACAAGGACAGGCACGCAAGCGGGAGCTAGACTATGCCTCAGGTTGGTCGGCCATGCCCGACCTACCCACTATCCCTACTATACATTTGGAACCCCCCATAGCCCCCCCCCCCTTGAGGAACACACGCTTTGGGCTTTCACCCCAAGCCTCCCTTAGTATCAGGAGTTAGTCTCTGGGACAAACTCGAAACTTACTAAATATGGAATGTCCTTAGATTGTGAATTTGGACACGGGACGAACACCATTGTGTTCAGGCCGATCTCTACATTCCGTAGATATGCCAAATGAGCAAATCTGGACACTTTCCATAAATAGCATTTGGGACCGAAATGAGACTAACACAAAGGGCATGATAGCGAGGGTGTTTGGCAGACACGGTAAGCTATCATCCAGCGATATTGAGGGACCAATCTCAATATACGAGGGTTCTTGTCAAGCCAGTGCAAGACAGAGCAAAAGAGAACTAAAAGCCAGGCCGAGTATGCTCAGCTAAAAACACATAGGAGTTCCTACCTTATGTCCATCTGGCTAAGTACAGGTGCTAAGCCCAGTAAACTAACACTTGAACAAGAGGGGCTAATAAAGGGAACCAGCAATACCGACCTCCTGCCATCGTGGCAGTAAGGTAAGAGTGTCCGTAAGGACTAGCCGACAGGTAACTTTCGATACCTGAAGTCACATTCGCGACACTCTCCCCCCCTTGGGAAGATCGACGTCCTCGTCGATGCACACTCGAGTCTAGAATACCGCCAAGGAAACAACTCCAGAAAAAGTTCACGGTACTCACACTATGTGAGAAATGCACCAACTTAAATGAGTTAAGGGGGCAACCTCTTTGTCTAACGCGGATGCGCTACCAGCTTAGACACCTTCCGGCCGTCGCCGACAAGGAAATGACCAACGGAGTCAGCCACCCCTGCTGCTCTGGGAGTCACCCAGCTTACAAAAGTGTGATATGCCCTGCCCGCAGGAACATAGAGAGAGAAGCCAGAGGCCCCTACCCTCCTAAGCAAAGAAACCAAACCCGTCGGTAAGGTTTAGATAGACTACTGTAAACAGGCAGTTAGAGTTGTTTACACGGTCACGCCCTTTCAACGGAATAAGGACCATCGACAAAGAGGCGGGTTATGTGACCAGTCGACAGTAGCTACCCCATGACTAGAGATTTCACCATGCACACGAAGTGCCGAAGCCAGTCTGCCCATTACTGGCCCAAACTCAAAGATCAATGGATGGACAATATCAAAGTCAGAGACAATGATATCTGAGAAGCTTAATTACTAGTGATTATATCTTAGAGTAGAACACAAAAGTATTCTAAGCAAGTTATCATCCGATAAACCAGTAGTATTGTAGATAGGAACCACCAACAGATCATCATAATTTGGCAAACACAGGAATGACCATCCAACAAAATTCAATAGTTAGTATATCATCAAGGAAACTCAATGATGAAACTTAACTATCGAAGATAGTAGATAGTAAGCCAACAACTTACTAGAGAGAACTCAAAGAACACAAAGTATCATTGACTAACAAGCACAATGCTAGCGAATGTATCACCCAAAGGAAATAATATCCAAATCTATCAAAACTAACTCGAGCAACAATCAACAGAAGAAAATGAATGTGGTAAGACCAACAAACACTCATTCCTGCCAACTATCACAAAAGCCAATCTGAATAGATCCCAGCCAACAATACCAAGGAACTCAAGTTGCCTAAGCAAGTGTCAGCAACATCCTACTGACGTCTCAAACCCAAGAGACCAATCCAGAGCAAACCACAAAGAACATGTGGTATTGCCAAAAGCCAAAAGCCATCAAAGAGAACAACCAACTATCATGAAAGATCGTCAATCATTCCATCAATAAAGAGATGCATAATCATCGTCTAAGAAGGAATCCACCATCCCGAAGAACGGCAAACCATTCTATACCAACAATAATCAAGCAAAACTTTTTGACATGGATAATCAACTTTCCTAGAGGATAGTTAATCAGCACCAATGATTGCTAGATGCAAAAGCCAACTTCAACATCGAAGCTAATGAGCCAAAATGCCTTCCCCCAACAACTTCAAACAAATGGAACAATGAGCATAAAACTCAAGGAACCGAAAGTTCAAAGAAGTCTATAGCCAAGTCTTGTCTAACAATGATCACGAGTCACATAGAAGCTAACTTCAATGTTAAAGAAGAAATCATGGTGCAACCCACAATATCTTCCTCAACACATCCATAAGCCAAACTTCATAATACCAAAGCTAACGAAGAGCATTTCTGCATCAATCCAAAAGCTAAGTATAACGAAGCTATGCTCAACAAGTGATCATCAAACGATCCTCCATGAATCCATCTACAGCAAGACGTAACTCACCTCATAACAAGCACAAGAAAAATCATTAATGATTGATATATCTCAATTGAAATCCAAGAAGGATTCAATCACTTCAATGCCAATCACTAACTCTTACTCTTATAGAGGTAGCATTGTTCACGACTAAATCACTTTTCAAGGAAAAACTAAAGCTCAACCTCAACTAAGCAATCTCGTCTAGAACACAACTAACCCAAACTTGCTACTCAGTTCATTTGAACATCAATACAGTTGCTAACTAGCAATTGCCTGAATGCTAACAACACAAAGCTAAAGCCAAATCATCAACACTTTTTATCAAGACTAATGAAACTCAATATCAATCCTATGGAGAGATATCTCATTTCATTTTACCTCAACATCAACAATGTCAATGACAAGGCATCACTTCAATGCCATCAACAACAGAACAAAGCTAGCAGAAAGCAAGAGTGAATCACCACCCAAAGCTCTCTAGCAACCAAGCTAACCAAGGTCGAAGATACCTTAGTCAGTATCCGAGACCAATCCTCCAACAATACTCAGTTACAGATAACACTTCCTCAAGGAGTGAATCACCACGTCCAAGACTCAATGAAATCCAACACTATAGACCAAACGTAACCAAATGATATCGACAAAGGAATTGACATGCCAACATGGAAAAACCACGCCAGCCTAATGACACGATCCTCCGCAACACCATCCGGTAAAGCAAGCCCATCACTGTTAAATCATCATCGAGCAAAGTAAGTGTCAACAGTCCTTGACGAAGTCTACAAGTAATCACTAGTCACAAAGCAACTAACAATCACTCCTCAACTTGCCTTCATAAGACCCAAACACCAACTCTTGTCATCAAGTTACATACTTGTCCAACATGAACATAATACCCCAAGTATGAGATAAAAGTTCATAGACAAGCACAAACTAAATGACCACTCGAATCCAACTCAACCGCAATAAGCTCACTAATGCATTTTAGTCAATAGCTCTGAGCATGCCTTGAAGAGGCTAGCTATGTGATCAACACTCAGTCGAAACTAAAGTGAAGACCATGAGATGGACTCATATCAGTACACAACTTCCTCATAGACAAAGCTATAGTACGGGTACCAACATCTCAACCTCAAACAACTAAGTTGG